CCCTCTTAAAATTAAGATTCAAAAAGAATATAAATAAATTTTGGTTTATTATTTAGTTGGTGGAAATGTTTCAGATTTATACACTTTTACAATTACCGCAATAAAAATGTACAAGTCATATTATAAATACAAATTAAGAATCAAGCGAACTTATATGCATTTACAAACACAATTTTCCGATAAATTTTATGCAATAAATTTGACCATCACAAAGATATTTTTACCAGTTGGCGTCTGTAATTTCCCTAGTAAAAAAATAGGCAGAATACAACCTCACTCTCCTCGGTTAGCTTTACTAGATAGATCTATACCAAGATACAGAATCGGGACATTGATCCTTTGCTAGTGAACTCAACGAGTCGACTGTTTCCTTGATTATATTATGGTTGCAAGGTTAAATTTTTGAATTCGAAATCAGAAATCGACCCTCAGACTGCCATATATTCGCTCTCTAAAAAAAGTTAATTCTGTTTTTCGCGATGGCCTTACAAGAAATATAAGTTAAATTTTCAAATAATTATTTTATAATTTCCAACAATTTATAAATTAGTCAATAAATTTACTTAAAAAGAATTAATAAGAACATTGAATAATTTAAAATTGATTTTTAAAAATTATACTTATAATTAAAAAAATAGGTAGAAATGTAAAGATTATTTAGATTTTTCCAATGACATTAAAAAACCGTTTTATTGCAGTCGAGCACTCCACCGGAATGTTCAAGTGAACGATTGATTTAGGAAAGAAAGCAAATATTGAATTCAATCACCTCTTCGCGAGATTTTCCCCCCTCAGCAACGGTGACCGTGCCGACAATTAGATTTTAAATCATTTTAATAGAAATTAAACTGTATATACGGACTCTTTTTAAAAGATGATTATGAACCCTCTATAAAATGGTTTTAAATATGACTAAGCAGCCAGTACCAACATTTTATAATTTTCATACTATATAAAAATATTAAGTAAATATTTTTATAAAAGAAAAAGATCGAATTGAGATAAAAATTCATGTATAATAATTTTCAATTATTATTTGTTTGTACACTATTATTAGTGTACAAAAAAGTCGGTATATCACCGTAATGACAAAGTAACCTAATAACTTGTGAGTAAAGCATTTGATTATCGAGCGTGCTCGGGTAAACAACGATATTGATTTTTCTTTTTACAAATAAAAACAGCCATTTATCATTAACTGTCATTGACTGTCCTTCATATTTTTATCACGCTCGGTCTGTTTTTTGTTGGTATGTTTAATTCAACAATCAATTTTTTGATTCATTTTTGGACTATTAAAAAAATTATAATAATAAGGCTTTTAATAAAACTTTGTATTTATTATTTTATTTACAATCCAATCTTATCATCTTCAAAATAACATATAACCAGTCTGTTTTTTGTTCTGTCTAAAGATACAAAAAGTTGCAGTTCAGGTTGAGCCGAGTTTATGAATTCATTTTTTTTTTATTTTTTTTAGTCACTTTCTAACAAATTTCAGGAAAGTTCAATTTAGTGTAGTATAGAATTATACTGTTTCTATCCGATGATTTAATTTACACAGTGTCTAGGTACACGCTAACTTGTACGCAATTCAAAAAGTTATATACACGCGAAACGTCTTGACAGAGTTGGTGAGCTGAGTCTGGGCCGTTGGTGTTTATGCCGGTCGGCGTAGCTAGGTATGGATTGATATTTTCTGTCGTTACTTCGTTTTCTTTTTGTCACGGCATTATTATTATTTGTTCATGTATGTGAAATTTGTTACTAAGGTTTATAAAATACTACTGCTAGTCACGGCGTAAATGAAAACAAACAAGACCCATTCACACAAACACCTCCCACCACACCAAGACATTTCGCGTGTATATAATTTTTTGATTTGTGTACACTTTAGCGTGTACCTAGGCAACAGCGTTTAATTTAAGGTGATGACCAAATTGAAAGATGTTCAATAATGCGAGTTTCAAGTGATCTAATAGTTCTACGTATATGGTAAACTGGAAAATCTTCACAATTCAATTTGTTACTGACAGGCTAGTCCCACAGACAGTGGCGGCTTGAGACCAAAATATTGGGGGTTCACAATAACAGAATATAGATCTCAGTACAGCTGTAGGTAAAAAAACTGTCAGTGTTTTAGAAATATTTATTATATTATTTGATTAATTATTTTTATTTTTACCAATGATATTTAAAAGGCGAAAATTCTTTGACTAATAAATTATCTCATTGCCGTACTTCAGAAAAATTTGGAAAAAGTTCAAAAAGCTTAATTTAATAAAAAAAATTGAATGTATTATAATAGATTACGAAATTCCAAGTAATCAAGATAATTATTAAACATTTATAAAATTAAAAACTAAAAAGTTTTCATCACGACTTTTAGACTGCACCTCGTATAATGCTAATTCTGATAAGTTCAACCAGATTTAGTGAGAAATTATGAATTTTAAAAAGTAAATTTATAAAATATTTACAACATGAATTTTAAAGTAACTTTTGAATTAATAAGAGATAAATTATTATTAAAAGTGTACAATAAACCGTTTAAATAAACTCACCTGTATAAATCCAATAACTAAATTTTACTAATATAACCAAACTGTCAAAATTTTGATTGGACAGGTTCATTTTCTTCCATCTAGATTGGAATCTTAAAATTGGAGTTTGTTGATGAAACAAAAGGCAGTATAAAAAAGATCGAAAATGGAGGATGAGTTTTTTTTGATTTCATTCCTTTTATCTCAAATCCTTTTCTAAAGAAATACTAAAATATAAAGAAACAGGAAAATTAAATTATGTATATTTGTATGTGAAAATTCTATGAGGTAAAATTATGTTATGTATAATAAAAATATTTGTCCACGACTATTCTATAAAACATTAATTATACTTGTACTTCCTTAAGAATAATAACACCTATTATTCACTAGTGAATAATGATCCATTATTCACGGTATGACCTCACGACAGCACGTATGTCTAAACCCTATAGATGGGCGATACTTTTCATAACGATATTTTCTAGATCGAAAAATTAGAAATTAGAAAAATTGAAAAATCGAAAAATCGAAAAATCGAAAAATCGAAAAATCGAAAAATCGAAAAATCGAAAAATCGAAAAATCGAAAAATCGAAAAATAGAAAAATCGAAAAATCAAAAAATCAAAAAATCGAAATATCGAAAAATTGAAAGTAACATATTACAGTATAGTTTTTTACCTCTATTAAACTAATAAAATCTGATTGAATCTTAATCATTTATTCATGATTTTCACTTAAAGATCGAAAATCAATCTGAAATAAAAACAAAGCAACATATTATTATAATAATTTCATTTCAGAAAACAAATTCGTGAAAGTTGAAATTAAATTATATTAATAACTTATAGTAAGTAAATCTAGAAAACGTGAAAAACGTGACGTAATAGGCAAAACACCTTATGTTATTATTAAACATTAAAACATTAAAGTTGAAAATGTATCGATTGTCCATTATCGTTACTTATATTTTATAAAGATATTGTAATTCTTATAGGTTTAGATTTAACCAAGTTACTCCCACTCTTGATTTCAAACAAAAAAAATATATATCGCATCTAAATTATGGCGTTATAGGTTAGGGTGACATTAATAATATATTGAAATATGTTAGACGTGTCTCAAAAAAATCCTAAAATTGATATTAAATGTACATTTGTGATAATCAAGTTACAATGGCGGCTGATGCATAAGTGCTGTAGCGCTGTAGAACTGCCAAAAACTGCAAGTCTCTCGTCTGCATTTCACAGAAATTATTATAGACATAGACAAAATATATGTAAAATAAATTGTATGGAGTATTTTATTAATTTTAATTATTAAATAGTATCCATAGCGCCCGAACGTATCTTACTATTATTTCATAGCTAAGTCCAGAACGGACCAGTGGAAGACTCAAGAAAAACTCGCCAGATCATATTTATCTCTTAGCTGGGTCGCTTCGTGACGGTCTGTGCACAGCTCGGCCGTCCGTGCTAATCCTCTCACCTCCCAGCGGCTCTCTAAAAAGTAACGACAAGACACGTAGTGTTTGGTCTGCATTTTTGCCAGATCGGCGAGCTCTGTTTATAGTCTGTCGCATATGAAGACCACACGGGAAAAACGATGAAGGTCCATTTTTCTGAAAATGAGATTTTTGCGGATTAATATACATCTCTATCATTTGCCACTATCAGAAACGGGAATAATGATAGCAGTCGCAGATAAAAGTCCGCGCGTAACGGGAAAGGGAAAAAACGATGATAGTCCAGTTCCTTCGAAGAGCACCGACGCAGTTTATAATCATCCGTGAATTAAAGCGGTTGTGAATGACCGTTTTCATATGTTTACTCGGTGTTTTTCGTCATATTGTGTGCAACTAGGAGAGAAAAACAAGAAAACGTAAAAGCTTCGGGAGAATAACGGACATTGCAAAGCAACTTAAGAGTTCAAAGCCATGAAATTGGTGTAGATTGTCAATGTAAACGATATAAATGCTTTTAGAAAATCAGGGAAACAGAAAGAAGGAAAATACTTGGATATTTCAATCAACTGGAGACATTGGATGAACAGAATTCTTACCTTGCTGGCCTTATAACTGTTGTGCCTGTGAAAAGGCGAAGGCCTAGATGTGCAGAGAGTGAAGTTTCAAGATTTAACGATGATTCATATGCCTATAGAGTGCGATGCAACTTAGAGGATGAGAACGAGAATATCGTGGATACGCAGGCATGCTACAAAGCTTTTTTTATCTCTGCATGGAATAAAGCCACGTAGAATATAAAGTATACAAACAAGGTTCAATAAAGTTTGTCAACACATTTCATCATTCCGTAGTTGGTCAAGCCATTATAGTTCGGAACCTACTTTTCCGAAGAACTAAAGGTGGCAAAATGTACGATTTATTCAAGATTAAGTTTCCGCAGGCGAAAATATCGTATAACAGCTGCAGATAAATTTTCAATGAAAAATTTAATATGGGTTTTGGCTACCCAAGATCGGACACCTACTCCAAATGTGACGAAACTGATGTTGCCCTGAAAACCTTGGAGTCTAAAGAAGCTAAAGCACAAGAACAAAAAGCAAAACTCTTAACAGAAATAAAAAAGCTTGAGACAGAAAAGAAAGTACATCTATCAAGAGCTAATGCATTTTACGATAGAAAACGTGCTTCTAATAGATCAGCCAGGCTTCACGACAACGTGGAAGCCATTTGCATGGACTACTCTAAAAATCTGCCTATTCCAAATATTTCAACGAATGACATTTATTACAGCCGACAGTTGTCATTATACTTGTTCAATGTTCATGTACTTTCAAACCAACAAAGTATTTTCTATTCCTACAGTGAAATAGTGGGAAAAAAGGAAGCGACAATGTGTGCTCCCTCTTACATCACTTCATTTACAACTTTTTGCTAGTCAATGTCAAACGTCTTAAAATATTCTGCGATTCTTGTGGTGGACAGAATAAAAACTACACAGTTTTTAGATTCTTGCACCATATCATTCATTATGAAAAAAAGCTAGAACACGTCAAAGTTACGTTTCCAATACGCGGACATTCTTATATGGAGAGCGATAAGGATTTTGGATTAGTCAATCAAAAGACCCGAACAGAAACTCCATCGGACTGGAAGCCAACACCGTTTGTTGTAGAAGACGTACAACAAAACTACTTACGTTCTTGGACTAAGCATCTTCAACTACTGTATTTGAAGAAATGTCCTTTTCCTATTAGACCATTGAGAGAGATAGAGTTCTCTGCTGAGCATCCCAGACTGGCATTTTATCGCAATTCATACTTTGGCGAATGGGAGTCAGCAGATATCGGGGGGAAACCATTCAAGCAGCCAAACAACACCGGATAACCTTTATAAAGGTAAAAAATTGGAAAAAGTATCATCATACACATTTTAAATTTGCATATTTATCTCTTATTACAGATCTGATTCCGCTGTCCAAAGAAAAATACAAAGACATCCAGAAGTTGTCCAAGTACTGTGGCGAAGAGTCGAAAAATTAGCTGGTTGGTCTACCTCGTAAAAAATGAGTGAAACTGAAAAATAAACCTAAAGTTAAATAAATGAAGAAAAGGCTGTTTGTACATATTTAAATTCTATATTTTTTTAACGTTCAACACCAGCTTTATCTAAGGGAGAAACATAGATGATTGGAAAAATGTTCTACTCCATCTACCACATAAGAAAAAAAGTTTAGTTATTGTTTCTTAATGTCGTTTTTAGTAACAATAAATAACCTTTAACAAAAATTGACTCCTTGTTTATTATCTCGGATGAACATGACTGTTTTAAAGTTGAGAACCTCTTTAATTTTTGGGCTTTCATCGTTTCATCGTCAAATAACAGGTCGTTGACTCACTTTTAGAGTGGTATTTCTAAGCCGGAAGGTCACACTCCAAAAAAAACCCACAAAACAAATAAACACATGTATCTAAAAATCTTATTCGGAAATTTACTATTTGCTCAAAACATAATCGTACGTTAAGGTCTCAAAGTTAAAAACCTCATTTCTGACCATTTTGTTTTTGGACCTTCATCGTTTTTCCCGTCGTGTGGTCTTCATATGTGATTCGATTTCGGTTTTGTAGATTATTTGTTTGTGTCAATTCGCCAGCGCGCCTTTTCATTGTACATGAAAGACATAGATGTACTTTATGAGTTTAACAAATGAAAATATATTTTTTAAATACGCGTATGAGTATAAGTTTGCTGCTAAAAAGGGCCGCAGAATAGAATTAACGTATAAAATGTAGATGAATAAAATAAATAATAATTGATTTTTTGGAAGGGGGAGGCAGAATCTTGCAGAACACCCATTGTCTTTAACCACCAGCCGGCACTGTCTAGTTGTACACTATTTTCTGAGTATATAATATAAACCAATTACTATTTTTTATTATATGTGTTATTGAACTACTTACAATGCAAATATTTCAGACTATATGGTGTCGTTTTTCTCTCATTATCGCAGGTACAATTACTTTGTTTATGTTGAGAGAGAGAGAGAGAGAGAATATGTTTATTGTCCAAGTTAAAATACTTATTGACAAACACAATATTTTGTACAAATATTGTACAAATTACAAATAAATAAATAAATAGTCATTAAAATATAAACAAACATTATTATAAATTAACATTAATACATCTACAATAAAATACAACAAAACAAAATAAAACACATATCACAGTGTCTCGTCATTATAAAATTCTGTAATATTATAATAAGGCCCAGTTAACAGAAATCTCCTGAGCAGCTTTATAAAACAATTCTGTGACTCAACATCTGTCAAAGTATGTGATAGCCTATTGTACATCTTGATACCATTGTATATAAAAGAGTCTCTTACTAGTTCAGTTTTGGGAATAGGCAACTTCAAGTTACCCGTTTGGCGAGTTACACGGGATGTATTCGATTTATATTTTCGACTTGTTCTTATGGATCATGCAACAAGTTTCTAAGATAAATAAAGATGTTAATGTTAATATTTCTTGTTTTAAGAACTGCAGTCTGCATGAATCTAATCTGTGTGCTCCACATAAGAACCTTATTGCCCGTTTCTACATTATAAAGACTCTGTCAAATAACTTGGCAGAACAGACTCCCCAAAACTGAACAGCATAACGTAAATGGGAGTCAACTAACGCATAATATGCAGTTTTTGCTGCACAAACTCCTAATTCATGAGAGGTGGTTCTAATGGCATAACAACCCGATGCAAGTTTTTTTAAAAGTGGATCCACATGAGATTTGAATTTCAAATCCATGTCGATATTTAAACCCAAAAATTTTGTACAGTTTGTGGCTTCTACAGTATCCCTATCTATTAAAATATCAGGAATATTACATTTAAAAGTTAGTATTTTTGTTTTTTTAAAATTGAATGACAGAAAATTTGCAGTGCACCATGTTTTAAAGGATTTTAGATCATTACTAATATTTGCATAAAGAATATTGACGTCTTTTTTATGCCACAATATAGTAGTATCGTCAGCAAATATAGTGAAGCTTCCTGAGATATTTAACTTACCTAAATCATTGATATAAATTATAAACAGGGTGGGCCCAAGAACAGAACCTTGAGGGACACCCCACTTTATGTCACTTGTGTTCGAGTCTGAAACAGTTCGGACTAACTGTTTGCGACCTAAAAGGTAGGATTTCATGCTTCTTACTGATCAAACATACGGATCGGATCCAATTTATATCAAACAAAACTTTAATTTATCGTTTGGATTTGCTTGATTTCTTAAACATCTTAAATTATCCTCCCGTAAACCAATAAAATAAATTCAAAAAGGTTACAAAAGGATTCTCCTTTTCAATGATCTCAATCGTTAAACATATTACAATTTTCCTCGAATGCCTTTTATATGTCGAGTCAAGCCCTTATTTTCTTTCTAATACTGACCGGTCTGTTGGCATTTCCAATTCCAATATAAGAAACCCGATATCCTGTCATGTTCAAAGTCTTCCAACATACAATCCGGTCTCTATCCATTTATAAAAAAAAGTAAAAAAAGGTAAAAAAGAACATTGGAAACGAAGGATATTATCCGTCGAATCTCGCAACTCCGCTCACAGCGCCATCTGTTTGTTATTTCTGACAAAAATCTAAGGAAGTGAAAAAGGTGCAGATCTATTATTAAATTCTTTTGTATTGTTTTAAGTTGCATCTTAGGATAGATATTGATAGAGCAGCATTGCATTTTGTTTCGATATGATATCTGAAATCGGATTTCGCAATTTCCAATGAATTCGCTTCGATACAATGTTATGAAAGTTGCACGTTTTCATTCTGAATCCCCATTGTTTGTGCATCAGTTTTGTTCAGCTGAGCTGTTTAATAATCTAGTGTTTTTTGTGTGTTTTATGCTCAAAGTTTAATTTTGCAGAAAGCTTTCTACTTTTTCAACAAGTTATGCTTACACTCACACACTCTTTACATTAAATTATTTATTTAATCCTTTCAAACGAAAGTCTGTGCTAAGTTGGGTAGGTATGGCACACGAGTATAAAATATTTAGAAATAGAAAATTTTATATTTCTGTTAAAGATCTGAAAATTAATCAAATAAACAAACCAAATGTGAAAATAAACCAAAAAAAATTAAAATAAATTGACCTGATTAAAGAAAAATTTAAAGAATCAAGGTATATATCTTGGTTAGATTTGAATCTTTTCCTTTCAATATCTTGGATACCCTGGATTGGTAGTTGGAATCCTGAAGTGGTGTGCGGATTTGTTTTCACATTAGGTTGTTTCGGAATTGATTCCTTAATTTTCTCTCTTTTTTGCGTTTTAGTCCGTAAAAGGCGGGATTGAAGTACTAGTTTTTAGCCCCCTGCAGTGTATAAAATTGTTATTTGAATAAAATTTCATTATAAAATATTAGAAACCTTACAACTGTGTACTTTAAGACTTTTCCAATTTGTTTCGATGATGTTAAAAAAATATTAGCTGGATGTTGTATTTTTTCCAAAGTTCATTTCGTAAAGGCATTCCTTTTTGAGACTCTGAAATGTTCAATTGCGTTTTTCTTGAAAACGGATGAAATTATCAAGTTTAAACAAGTGTAACAATTTTACAGAAAAATTATGTTTATATTTTATTTTCTAATCAAAATTAATAAAATGTTTAGTTAAAAATGATATGACCCAATTTCATCATCAGGAATCGCATATGTGGTGCCCCTCGTAACAATTTTGGCCAATTTTGTGAAAATATTACTAAAAAAAAAATAACTAAAAACTATTTTATTTTAACACCCTGTATCTTTTTGCACAGCAACAATTTATTAAAGGGGGTATCCATTAATTACGTGAGGTATTTTTGAGGATTTTTTGACTCCCCCTCCCCCCTTGGCGAGATTTGGTAAGATTTTCCTTAACTCCCTCCCCCCCGTCCCTAATCTCACGTGAGATTTTTTAAAATTCGTGTTTTGGGTGTAAATGTGTTGGATTATTAAAAAAAAAAACAAAAACACAATATGTTCCATTACTTTTATTTAAGACTAGCAAAGACTAGTGTTTAAAAGTGTTGCAATTATTTAAAATCACATTAATAAAATTAAATGATAAATACTTAAATGGAAATGTCGTGAGATTAGTTAGATCACCGAGACGCGAAGCGTCGAGGTTAGCTATGATCTCGAGACAGGAATAAACAAAAGTCAGATAAAGCCGGATATTAAATTCGCGAATAATAAACATTAATAAGTAGTTTGTTGTATTTTTAGTTCATTGTTGTTTTTTATTGTTTGCCATTAAATAGGTATTATAAAATTTGTCAAAAAATGTGTTATTTTTTTAAATATAAAAAATATTCATCTGGAATAGATGAAATGAGGGCGGGAAGAGAGGGCGGGAAGTAGAGGTGTGTAATGTGACACTTCCCAACCTTCAATGACGTTAGTAATGACAACATTACATATATGGTTGTAAATAAACATAATTATAAGATTTTTCCATATTTTATTCTAGAAATACGTTTACTATAATTTAACTTTACTTTCACGCAATTTTACACCGTTTTCTACTAGAAAAAAATTACGTGAGATTTACGAAAACTCCCCCTCCCCCCCAAGTGAGATTTAGAAAGATTTAGTTTTATCCCCCCCCCCCCCCTTGAACACCTCACGTAATTAATGGACGCCCCCAAAGGATATTTGGTTCAATCCTCATATTTTGGTCCAAATAACCTGCTCTTACTCTGTCCCAATAATTGCATGATATTTATGTCTGACAGTTGTTTAGTCCAGTGTAAACACTCAAAAATATATGTCCGAGAGAAATTTTTGTGTGTTTACACTGGATTAAACAAATGTCAGACATAAATCTCATGCAAT